TAAAAATGAAATTAAATTCCAGGTCGGAACGAATTGGTTTATACGATTTGGAAAAAAAAAAAAAAAATAACACGACATGTTTACTAATAGATTTTCAAATCTATTTTTTTTTTTTTTTTTTGTTGTTGTTCGTCTATCTATCGTTTCAACGTCGCTTCCTATTTTATTGGTAACGAAAAAAAAAATAGACGTCAAAAATTATTTTCAAATCTTTTACTCGATGTGTCTTTTAAACGAACTCCCCCCCCCACAGAAATCCCCGTCACAATAACCCCGAAAATATTTTCCCACATTAAAAAACAACATTTTTTTAAATTCCTACAATTCCTACATCAACATCATCATCATCATCATTATCATCATTATATAAAATTATATGGAATTTATTTTTTTTTCCATTGGAAAAACAAAAAAGGTAAAAAAAAAAAAAAACTTATTTTGTAATTAAACAAAAAGATCACAAAAAAAAAAAAAAAAAAAAAAGAAATCAAATTTCACTTACCCAAAAAGAACTTTCGACGAAATAAAAAACAAATTTATTTATTTTCCTTTTTTTTCCATTTTCCTTTTCCTTTTTTTCCTTTGACGTTATTTTAACTTCATCAAATAAACACATAAATATTTAATCACACGTTTTAACGAATATCTATACGTGCACGAAAACAACACAAAAACACAAACACAACACAAACACACACACACACGCGCGCGTGTTATTATTTCTTACGTTAAATTAAATCGTAACTTATAAGATATTAATTATTAAATTATTATTATTATTATTATTACTATTATTATTATTATTATTAATTATTAATTAATAACCGACGACGTAAATTTATTTTTTATTTTGGTTCGAACGTTTAAACTTAAAAAAAAAAAAATGGAAGGAAAATGAAAAAAAGAAGCACGCGAAAAGAATGAAATTTTTTTTTTTATATAACATAAATCATTAATAGTAATAATAATAGTAATAATGATAATAATAATAAAAAGGTAATAAAATACATAAAAATGACTAATTGAATTGATGTGAAAAAAAATTTTTTTTTTTTAAATTATTTTATACATAGAAAAGAATGAAATTAAAATAAAGATGATGGGGAAGGTGGGGGAGGGAGAGAGGGGGGTAAAAAAATGGCGACATAAATTTTAAGTTTACTATTATATGATATAACTTTCGTTTAATTTTTTTAAATGAATTTTATCGTCAATAAATTTAAACTCATATGAGGCAGAGAGAGAGATGGGTATATACAAAGTCAAAAGATAAAAATAAGAAGGAAAAAGTCAAAGGAAGAAAAGGAAAAAGAAAGGGAAAGAGAGAGAGAGAGAGAGGGAAAATGTGTCTGTTATCTGCATAAAGTGTTGAAATATAAGAGTAAAAAGATAGAAGTAATGAAATTCCAATGATGTAATATTTCAACAACCTTTCTTCTGCTTTCCGTCCGACTAACTACCAGTTAACTTCCTCTTTTTTTTTCCCCCCAGCCCCCTCCCCACTCCCCAATCTTACTACTAAACAGTTACGGATTGAATTTTCTTAACAATTTCCTTTTTTTTTTTTTTCAACTTATTTTATTTGTATGTATATATATACATTTATTTTTACAATCCCTTCCCTTCCCTCCCCTCCTCTACCCCGTCTAAATCCTCACCGACGACTATGACGACATTTGTATTTTTTATGTTGTTTTTTTTTTTCATTTTTTTTTTTTTTTACTGCCACGACATTTTATTGTTTTTTACATGAAACATATAAAACTTTTTGTTTTTTTAATTAAAAAAAAAAAATTTCGATTTGTTTAAAATAATAATAATAATAATAATTATTATTATTATTATTATTATTATCATTACTAAAGATTTAATATTTTTAAATGAACATTCCGTCACTGACAAAAAAAAAAAAAACCGGGTTATAATTTTTCCTTTTTTTTGAGTGTAAAAATGTTTAAAAGAGAAAAGCTTCTTTAACGGGGGGGGGGGGAGAGGGGAGAAAGAAGAATGTAAAAAAGTAAAGATTCCCATAAAGAGTTGAAAAGGCGGGGTGGGGGGGGGTTTTCGCGAATTTTCTTTTTTTCCCCCCTTTTTCCATTTCCTCCCATGACAAATTGCAAAATTCACGACAAGTTTTATTATTATTATTATTCATTTAAAAATTCCAAAAATTATTTTTAAACGTTTTCAACAAGAAAAAAAAAAAAAAATCAAACAAATTTTGACATTCATTTATTCAACCTCTTCTTTTTAAACGTTTTCAACTTAAAATTTATTCGATAATGATAATAATAATAATAATAATAATAATTTTTTATAACTTTCCTATATTACTACACTTTTCATTCTTTAAAAGAATTTTTATTTTTTTTTTTTTTAAATTAAAATAAATAAAAATTATATAAAAATGAAAACGAATATTT